TTATTCTTGATTTCTTTTTTGACCCATTCATCATTCAAAAACAAGATTTTAATTCCTATGAGTTTGTGGACTTACTAGAGATTTGTTTGCTGTCTACTTTAAGCTTTATTGCATTATGGTCATATAGAACAGAGGGAGTTATTTCAAATTTTCTGAATTTTTAAAGATTTGTTTTGTGTCCCAGAATGTAGTCTATATTATAGAAACTTCCATGGCCTGCTGAGTAAAATATATAATCATTGGTGTTTGGATAGACTATTCTGTAGATATGTTATGTCCACTTGATGGATATCATTTAATTCTGATGTTCTCTATTTATTTTTTTGTTCAGATGACCTATCTATTGGAGAAGGTGTGATATTAAAATCACCTACTGTTAATGGTTTGATGTTAATCTGTTTCTTTAATTCTAGTAGTAATTTTTTTAAATGAAATTGTGTTTACCAGAGCTTGTTGCATATATACTTAGGATTGCAATGTCTTCTTGATTAATTGTTTCCTTTAGAAGAGTGAAGTGTCCTTTTTTATCTGCTCCGATAGGTTTTAGTTTGAAGTTTATTTTGTCAGATATTAGGAGAGCAACACCTGTTTGTTTCCTGGTCCCATTTTATTGGAATCCCTTTTTCCATCCTTTCATTTTAAGGTGAGGACTCTCTTTAAAGCTGAGTTTCTTGGAAACAACAGAAAGATGAATTTCCATCCAAATAGCCTTTGTCTTTTGATTAGAGAGCTAAGGCCATTAATATTTGAAGTTATTATTGAAAGGTATATGTTGATTGTAGTCTCTTTTTTTTGCTATTTTAAATCATACTTTGAATTTCAGTAACTGGAGGAGTTTCTACAGTCTCTTGGTTATGTTCACTCCTTTCTTCAGTCCCAAGTATTTCTTCCTATAATTATTTAGAGTTGGTGTGATGGACATGAATTGTCTTAGCCTATTTGGATCATGGAAAGCTTTTCACTTTCCTTCAACTCTGGTACATAGTTTTGCTGGGTTCAGTAATCTTAGTTGATAATTGTGGTCTTTAGAATTTTGAATACATTGCTTCAGGTTTGTCTGGGAAACCCGAAGAAGTTTCTATTGAGGAGTTAGCTGTTATTCTAGTGGGTTTTCTTTAGGTGTGACTTGTGTTTTTTTCTTTTGCAACTTCCAAGAAAATTTCTGTTTTCTGTATATTTAGTGATGAAATTATGATTTGCCACAGGGTCTTTTCCGGTCTTGTCTAATTGTTGGGGTTCTGTTTGCTGGTCTTGTCTAGTTGGGGTTCTGTGTGCTTCCTGTATTTCTATGGATAGATACGCTTTTCCGTAGTTTATGGAAGTTTTCTTATATGATCATGTTGAAGATCTGGTCTTTGCCATTGACCTGTGATTATTCTCCCTCACCTATGCCTATAAGTTGAAGATTTTGTCTTTTGATGGTGTCCCACATTTCCAGCTTGTTCCTTTCCCACGCTTTAAAAAAATTAATATTCTCTGCTTCCTTGTTCTAGTTCCTCCACCTTTCTTCAAGTCCCAGTGTTCTGTTTTCTACTTGATCCATTCTGTTTACAGAATCTTTTGATTTTTTTAAGTTGAGTTATTTAGTTTTTCAGTTACAGCTTCATTTCAGCTTGAGTTCTTGTCAATGTTTCTATCTCTTCATTGAATCCAGTCATTTCATTCAGACTTATGCTTGTATTTTCTCTCATATCCCTCAGGTAATTATTCACTCTGAGTTTATTCTTTTTAATTTCATGGAGCTGTTTGTATCTTCTTTAAATTCCTTGAATTCTTTGATAAAGTTTGTGATTTTTCTCTTAGCTTCTGTGTCCTGGGTTTCATCTATGTAACTGATGGAGAACATTTCTAACAGGACTGGTGGATTTCGCGGGAGTGTGTACAGTGTCTTGATCCTTTGTATTATTTTTTATATGAGATCTGGTCATGTGATCTTCTATAGTTGGTTGTAGATCTGATGTGGACACAACAGATTAGGCTGGTGCCTAGGATGTGCCACCCGGCCTGAACCTGGAGGTTAGGAAATGTGTAGATTGGGCTCATCAGGCTAGGCCAGGTTTTGTTTGTGAGTTCAGGCATAGGGCTGGGAATTGGTAATTTACAGACAGGGTAAGGTCAGGAAGACTTGCCAGTCTTGGCCAGTGCACAGGATTGTGGGCCTTTCTGAGCCTTAAGGATGGAAATGGCACCAACTGCTCCCATGGTGATTAGAGTTGGGAAGAGTTGTGAAAGGGGGAACTCATGGAGGTCACATGTGTCTTCATGTCAGGTGGCCTGGCCTGGTGGGTATGGGGTCTGATGAGCTACAAGGAGGGAGAGAGAGTCCAGGAGAAGGTCAAGATTCCTGGCAAGAAGCTGTGGGCAGAATGGAGTTGGGCACATGACTTCATTTGTAGACCTGTTCATCAACAGTAGAATTATGTCCACTTCATTTAATCTACTAAGGACTGCCAATTGCTATTTTTAAAGCTATAAACATAATTCCCTTGCCCCTTTCCCTGCAGCTTAGTTTGCCAACTATGAGCATACACCTAACTCCAGACCTTGCTGATGTGGCTAAAATATTTACTTCACTCAGTAACCATTAATTTTTATTTCTGACAGAGTAAGCATATGGATACAACTCTCCATTACATCAGACTCTTGGAACAAGAATCCATTATAAACTTAATTACTCATTACATTTATGTGAGATAATATATATCTCACTTAGTCTTTATGAAACTACATTAATTAAATGAGATCTTTGGGCTTTTAATTTTGTTCACTTTCTTTTTTTTTTATAAACATGGAATTCTAATAACTATACATGTGGTCTCTATCTGTCTGTCTGTCTGCCTATCTGTCTGTGTATGTATGTATGTATGTATGTTTCTTTCTTTCCATCTATCTATCTATCTATCTATCTATCTATCTATCTATCTATCTATCATCTATCTATCTATCTATCTATCTATCTATCTATCTATCTATCTATCTATCAATGTGCATGTGTGTGTTTGTAATGTAGTCATTTAATGTTAATCATTAAAAACACCTTTCCACTGCCTGAATAGAATTGTTGGGAGCTATTATTCAGATTAAGGTAGAAACTTTCCTGAAAGCAAGAGGACATAATCTTAAAACAAATTTTCTTCACTTTTCACTATTAACATATGTTTATTCAATTATTGCTTAAGAGGAAAATCTGCTCAAATTTTAATTACTCTTTTATTTTCTAAATTGACATCAAATAAATAACAATTTGAGGTAATCATAAAGACAACTGAGTCACCATTTGGTTCCTGGTGTGAGACTCTTTCATTAGCAGTTGAATCATTAAGTTGGAAGGTGAAATAGTCACACAAGCTTTCTTTGAAGTAAATTATATTGCTTTCCAATTTTCCCTCTTTCACAATAATAAATAATAAAAATCTTTTAGAATGGTATTTGTAAAAACTGAGAAAATTCCAGAGACAACATCAAAAATGTTCTGTACAGTTTTATATTTTTGAGATATTTTTCCTTTATTTCAGATGCAAGATTAGAGTTTTACATTTATATTTAACTTTTTAAAAATTATAAAATTTTTAATATTTTGAATGCATCACAAAATATATAATAGAAACAATGTCTCTGTCTTAATTACTCATGGAAACTATGGAAAATAAGTTCATTAATTCTCCAGATATTTATGAAATGCACATTATGTATCAATTATTATTTCTCATACTTGGTGTACATCAATGAACCAGAGTTAAACAGATTGTCTTGGTGAGGATTTATTCAATGGAGGCAATACAGATAAGAAGTAATGCATGTGATGAATAAATAATGGCAGAGAATTTCCCAAAGTGTAAGTGAAACACTAAATCAGCCTAACCAAGGAAAGAGCAATGAGGACTATCAGGGTCAGAGTTACAATATTTAAATGTGCTAGTTAGTGAAGAGTCCTTCAAAGATGGTGCTTAAAAAAATACTGAAAGATACAGCAGTTAGCCATGTGGATGTCCAGGCAAGAAAATATCAGGAAAGGGCGACAGCAAGCATAAGGATCCTAAATGAGGTCTAAATTGAACTTGGTGTGTAACAGGAAGTAGTTATTATGGCTAGAATGAGGTGAAGGAGGAGAAGAATGGCTGGAAATGAGTGAGAGAGGAATTGGGTCCCACACACACCAAGCCTCTAACCATTGTGCAGACATTTCCTTTTCGGTGGTATTAGAACCAGAGCAGTGTTTCTTTTGGACAAATGCATAATTAATTTGATAACAGCCCACTTGGGGTACAAGAGGATAAGGGGAGAATACTGGTCAGGATACTTTGGTATCCAGGATGTTTTGGTGTTTTGGCTAGTGGTGTTTTGGTCCAGGAGCAATGAAGGAGAGAGTGAGCAAGTGGGGTTGAAATCTATTTGAAAGTTGTGTGGGTGATTTCCTGATAGATTGGACGTGAGAATGAGAGGAAAAAGGAGTGGGTTTCCTGAGCTTTTCGTTTGATTGATTTTTGCCTGGATACTTCCATTAGCCATGAATGAAGATGCCTGAAAGTGGACATGTTTTGGAGTGCTGCTCAGAAACTCAAAATAGGGTATCTTATATTGACGATACTTATTTAAATAAAATCTCCAAAGACACTGGCATCTTCTCTGAAAGCTCCTCTTCAGAAAATATTGTACGAATATGCACCTCATATTCATGTGAAGTACCACTGATGTGACTGAATTCACGAAGGATCACACAGTTAATAGTTGGTACTGTGAAGGGCAGCACCAGCCTATGCCTGACATACAGGTGGCAATAGAATTTTTTCAGAACCTTATAAAGCAAATACTATTCTACATTCTACAAAAGTAACCTGACTGAGTGACACAGCTAAAATTCTCAGTTAAGAGTCAAACTCATGCTTAACATGTACAATATCTTCCTTATCCATAATCTCATAACAGAAATTGTATAGCTCTATACCCAATAGGCAGTCATTTGTTTAAAACAGAAGTTTTGGGTTTTCTTTAATCTGCAGATTATAATACCAGTGAACAAAAACAAGCCTGCAAGAAGCATGAACTCTATGTGAGTTTCCGGGATCTGGGATGGCAGGTAAGATTGTTCAATCTATGTGTTTCTTTTCTGTTTTATCTTAAGTCCTTAGCAAGTCACAGTCTTTGTTAGTGATTGTTCCAATATAATAATCATTTTTGAAGACTATTCAGCTTGTGGTTCACACACATCATTTTCATTTCCTTATTATTATTTCCTTATTGGAATGTAATGAGTTGGGTTTAACAACCATCTAGGGAAATATAACATTTTAAAATTTAGGAATGGATAAAAGCAGTACTGTTCTTTAAATATCTTAAGTCTTTTGTTTTGCATGAGTCAAAGTCTCATTATGCAGCCCAAATGTCTTTGAGCACTTCTTCTTCCTCAGTGTCCCATGTACTGGGATTATAGGCATGTATTACCATGCCCTGCATATATAATAAACATTTATTAATTTATTTATTTTTGCACACACGTATGTAAATGTCTATGAGCATGTGTTCAAGCCAGAAGAGACCATCACGTGTCCTGCCCTATCACTTTCCACCTTTACTCTTTAAAATAGTTATCTCTCACTGAATCTGGAGCTCAGTGTCTTTGGGGTTATGCTGGCTGCCAGTAAAGGCCAGTGATTGTCATGTGTCTCTTACTCCAATGTAGAAAATCCTGGGATTATAAGCAAGCATGAAAGACATGCCCCCCACCTCCCAGACTTTTACCTAGGTACTGGGTATCCAAATTCAGCTCCTCATGGTTGCCCACCTAGCTCTCTTACCCACTGAATCATCTCCACAGCACCTGAAGAACTTTTAATGTAGTATAGATGTCTACATTAGTTCTGTTAGGATCACAGTTCTGTCTAGGAAATAGAATTTCCAACTATAAAGTTTAAATCATAAGGCATTTTTCTTTTCTTTCACTTATGATTCATATTAAACTCAAATGATAGATACACATACAGAAAAGCTGGGATCAGGTGGACTGAGTGCTCCTGATGGAGATACACCAGCAGTAGCCCAGAAACTCAGTGCATTTATTATATAAAGTGTGAATGAAGACGAAGAGGGTTAGCTAATCTAGGTGTGTGTGGGAGGTCTCTGGAGGGGAGACGACTCAGGCTGTTGTCATCCTGGAGGAGGAAGCTGCAGTTGACTTTTTCTGCGCACACTGTCAACATCTGTACTTACTCCAGGGGAAGGCCTTGCCATTCCCAGGAGTCCGAGGCACTGGGGTCTTTGACAAAACCACACTCATGTTAAAAACATACATTCACCTGGACTTCACCTGCTCTAAATATCTCCCCCTTTCTTATTGCTTAGATGGTTAGGGTGTCTTCACTCTGAGTCCCGGGTTGGTTTGGTTCAATGCTCAATGCCAGACTGTAAGGACAACAAAGGAGGGACAAACAGCCACCATGCCCAACACAAACACCACGGCAAGCTTTGCTCGGTTAAAGAGATTGGAGCCTTGAAGCTCATCAAGGATCACTTTTGCAATGTTAGCTGGGGAGACAATCTGGCCATAAGCCTTTCACAATTCTAGGCTGTGCCAATGTCTTTGGGCCATATCTACAGTGTTGTTATTGTGTGTTCAAGCATGCTAGAGGTTGGTATTGACTAATTCCCGATTATATTTGCTCTCATTATCAGAGCTGCTGTCACACATATGTGTTGGTAAGCTGTGGTCATCAAATCCAGTCTGATATCTGGATGTAATCCTCCTTTATCCACACTGATGTCATCAATGACCAACTGATAGTATTAAAAATGTTGGTGACAGCTGCCAATTTCCATAGTTCCATATAATATCCTTTGTCTAGCTGGAGACTGGATGAATGCCAAAACACTGTATTGTTACTTATGTGGAGCCATTAGTGGTCCATTGAATGACATTAGTGCCGCTAACATTATGTGTTTGAGTGGTGTCTAACAAGCAATGTCTCCAGGGAGCACAGGCAGGGACCCACTACGTGCACTACAGCTTTTCAGTGGGGGTGGGTGATGAGAGCTGTTGTATTCTGTGGAGGCCTCAAATTCATATTTAACATGGGTACCATTCCATAGCAGAATGGCTCTCTAGGTCTCTTTAAGAGGAATGCCCCAAGGGGATGATAAAGAAAAAACACATTTGAGTAAAGTCACGTCCATTTCAAATAGTTGAATGGAGCCCATTAGGACACCAGGTAGTTAGAGAAGTGTCCTCCAAAACTGAGGGAATCATTAATATAAACAAGTATGGAAAGATGTGACGAAGCCATTGGATGGATAGATAGATCCAGCTGGCTTCTCTTTGAACTGGGCTTATCTGCATGGGCATAACCACTAGATGTATCAGAAATATAACTGCTGGGTTATTTCTCAACCCTAGGTCTTATGCTCCCTCTTCTAACATTTGGTTTTGATTCTATGGATTAGGTCACCCAAACACAGGAAAGCAGTTAAAACCATTAATATCTTCCTCCAAATCTCTTGCTCTAAACGAAGTTTGCTGTCAAGGAGTGAGTTTATCTCCCCTTAAACCTCGCTGCAACCCAGACCCAAGGCACAATTCCACCACAGGTTGGAGACTGCATCCCATAGCTCCTTCCTCAGTATGAGTGTCTGGGCATGCCTCCCGAACACAGTCTAAACACTGACGCAGTTGTAATGTTCTTACCCTTTTACCTTATGACCATGGTTCCTCCAAACTCCTTCAGAGCACAAACACATAACCATCTCTAGAGCCTGCTCATCCTGGGGTTTACAGCCAACGTACAGAAATGCTTTTCCCCTCACCTTTCGTTGCACACTTGCGCTGGTCACTGTAGTTTTCCCTTGCTTACCTGATGTGAGTTCCCTGAATTCAAGGACCCACATTGGATACCACAGGCCTTGGCCTGCAGGGCCTCGGTATTGACCTGATTGGAGTGACTGGAATGAAGAAATGACAGATGTACAAACAGAAAAGGTGGGATCAGACGGGTCATGTGCTCTGATGGAGATGTACCAGCAGCACCCAGGAAACTCAGCGCTTTTTATATACAGATGAAGAAGGAGATGTGGGCTAACGGATCTTGACAGGGGCGTCTCTGGAAGGGAGCAGTCGCAGCTTCGGTCATCCTGGAGGAGGAAGCTGCGGCTGATATTTTCAGCACATGTTGTCAACATTTATACTTTGGGGGAAGGCCCTGCCATTCCTCTGAGGCTGACCCAGGGAAGGCTTTGCCACTCCCATGTGTCTGAGTCACTGGGGTCCTTGACATAGCCATGTTCACATCAACAACACAGATTCACTCAGGACTTCATCTACTCCCTGCATTTTCTGGTTCACTTGAATGCCCTGGAGTTAATCATTTCCAGTTTAAACAATATTTAGAATGCTGTTTTGTGATCATAGTTTTATTCTCAAACATAGAATGATTAATGTATACTTTGTTTTATATACTAACCTCTTGGGAGAAATTGGAAATGACCATTTCTAGTGAAAATATTTGTACTTTTGTTGTAAATGTCAACTAAAAATTAAATGATGTAGAAGAAGCTGGATTTTTAGAATAATGGTTGGACTAAGGAAGGAACTTATTCAGGTAGAATGTCTTCTGAAGAATTATCTGTCTTGACTGTCACTCATCTGATATTGCTTCTCTTGATTTTATACATTTCAGGATTGGATTATAGCACCAGAAGGGTATGCTGCGTTTTATTGTGATGGAGAATGTTCTTTTCCACTTAATGCTCATATGAATGCCACCAACCATGCCATAGTCCAGACTCTGGTATGTTCTATGCTTATGGTATAGAAACTGGTTTATAATACAAACACAGTAGAGGGTTGTTTTAAAGAAAATTTAATTATCAACCTCAAGTTCTTAAATTCCTTTGTAACTTATAGCTGGGGGTGACAATGGTGGGTATGGTAAGAAATTCAGATTGGTTTAAAATCAATAACCCTGGTCTCAGAAATGGGACAAATTCAGCTGGGAAAACTGAAGTATTAAATAAAGTAGCTACTCTGTACAGATTTCATTACTACACAGTGATTAGCCAGATGAGTTTTAAACAATAATTTACTAGTCATCTTTGCTGAAACATTGAATAACAACTGCACTGAACTTCATCTGAGAGCTTTTGACATAATTATTTCAAGCAAGTTCTAAATATTGGTATTACAGTCATTGAATATCATGTACAAGTAGTAGAATAATTTCTATTGATTTTTCTTTCTCAGTTCTTTTTTTATGTCATTTAAAAAAGAAAATTAAATTATCTTTTTCTTCTTCCATAGTTCCAAATATTTGCAGTGATTACATTTCTAGTAACCTCAACATATTCCTGTGCTTAAGACAGTGAAATGTTGACTCAGGGATCTGTGATTGGATTCCATTTAATCAACACAATCCAGCCTCTCTTGACATACTGATGTACTAGAGGGTAATCTCTGGAAGACAGCAGTCTCCTAGGAGTTGCACTAGATTATGTTATAGGATTGCTGTTTAGTGTCTGGGTTAACACAAAAACCATGATTATGTATCAAGGAGAAAAAGTAAAGAACACAGTTGTAGGACCACAAAGCCCCGATAGAAGTGGAGTTCTTTTGTTGATGGCAGAACAACCCTATTGTGCAAGCGAGGCTTATTTAGTAACCTCTGCTGCAAACTCTTAGATTTTGTATTTGACCTCTAAAGTTTACCTTTCCCCTTAAATCCATTTAAACTTGAAAGCTGGTGGACAGAGTAGCTAGTTTCTAAATAAGGACTCACATTAATATAATATGATATGATATGATATAAAATATATAAATATAAACAGACATATCAAATACTTGAATTCCTTGATGCTTACCTGGTTGCACTCTTGACTTAAAAGATGCTGTAGACTCCCCTGGCTTGTCTGAAGTGCTTGTCTATGGTGGGTAAGCATGGGTTTTATAAAAACTTTTAGAAATAAAACCAGGGAGAGAAGAAGAAAGAAAGAAAATAAACATTTTAATAGGCAGCCACATATAAAATACTCTTTTCAGCCGGGCAGTGGTAGTGCATGCCTTTAATTCCAACACTTAGGAGGTAGAGCTCAGTGGATCTCTGAGTTCGAGGCCAGCTTGGTCTACAGAGTGAATTCCAGGACAGCCAGGGCTATATAGATAGACCCTGTCTCAAAAAAAACAAAACAAAACAAAACAAAACAAAACAAACAAACAAACAAACAAACAAACAAACAAAAAAACAACCAAAAACCAAAAAACAAAACAAAACAAAACAAAAAAACAACCAACCAAACAAACAAATGTTCTTTTCATGAGATAGCCCATTTTAATGTCAGTATGTGGAGCATAAAGTTAATTCCTGGGGAGAATTAGCATCAGCTGTGCCTCACTTCACAAATACTTCTTATTATGGGTTAGTATTCTTGAGCAATGAGGAGCAGATAGGCTCTGCAAGGGCACTGTACTCAGACCTCTACCGGTAGATTGAGAAGTGTGCTGATGATATGCTGATGATTCCTCTTTTGAAGGAACAGTCATGATCACTATATATGTCGTGACAGAGAGGAACAGCTACTGTTTATGTGCTGAATAGTTTTATGCCACCTTGACACAAGCTAGAGTCATTTTGGAAGAAGGAACTTCAATGAGAAAATGTGTCCTGCCCCATTCCCTCAGATTGGCCTGTGGCCAAGCCTGGAGTACATTTTCTTGATGGATGATTGATGTGGGAGGGCTCAGATCATTATGGATGGGTCTCCTCTGGGCTGATGGTACTGAGTGCCAACAGGCTGAGCAAGCTGTGAGGAGTAAGCCAGAAAGCATCATTTCTCCATGGCCTCGGCTTCAGCTCTTGCCTCCAGACACCTGCCCTGATTTCCTTGGATGATGAACTATAAATTGTCAGATGAAATAAACCCTTTTCTCTTTAAGTTGTTTCTGGTCATGAAGCATCATCGCAGCAATAGAAACCCTAACTAAGACAACTTGTGAAATAATGCTACTTGATTTCTCAAAATTCTTGATCTGTTTTTGTTTTTGTTTGTAAAGTAATGATGCCTGACTAAGAAGGCAGAATTTTGTTTTTTTAGATATGTATCCAAAATGGCAAAGTTCCCTCAGGCTAAGCATTAATACTGTTGGAAAAAAAAAGTCCTTTGTCAAATACTCCTCTTTTCTTATTTGCTTTTTCTTATAAATACACAAATATTTTAGTTCTTATGGCTATAGTCTAGAAGTGGTATCAAAGAGAAAACAAAAAGAAATCCTCATGTGACATTGGAAGACCTTTTTTCTGTGTTGCATACATTCTCCTGCTATAGAAGACACATCATTGCAAACCTCAAGCTCACAGGGAAATGTGACTTTAGCGTTTGTGGTGCTGTGAACATTCTTAACATTTGTCCCGTGAAGGACGTTGAATGGGAGGACAGGCATGGTTTTTGTTAAAGAAGAGCTTGTTGTGACTAATACGTTCGAAGAATCATTCAAGAACAATCCATTTTGTTTGGAGTGGCTGCTTATTGAGGCTGCCAAGGCCATTGAAACCTGGGGGTTATCAATCATGCCTGTGAGGGTTATGGGAGATAAAGCTGATGAGGAATATAAACTGCATCGCAAATCCGGAAAAGCTCTCCAACTTTTAGTTTTGTGAGGTCTTTGGAAACTTCAAGTTCCTGTGGAGCCACTCTTTTGTCCGATGTTTTTGCTCTCATGCAGGCCTCCTATATCATTTCAGCCAGAACACTGTGAAGCCAAAACTCTAAGAGGCTGTGTTTGCTTTTTTGTAGATCCCTTAAGGCTCATCAAGGGGACTTCCCATAAACTCCTTTGGGGGAAGGGCCAGAGTAGGTGGGAACCATATTCTGGCTTCTAGCTCAATTATAACTTACAGGCAAACTGCCAGTCTGGTCAAAATGAGTACCAAGCTTTTATTTAAGCACTTCACTTTTCCATATAGCTACATTTTCAGTCTTTTAAGGGAATGGATATTCAATTTGCCAACTATCTGGACCCCTTGCTTCAGCCTCAGCTTGCTTTTTGGCAGTTTTGTAAGGAGTGTACAGGGAAAGGAAAATGGTATTAAACTCCACTCAGTCCAGTAAAAAGTCTATGAAGAAGAGTTGAAATTGTTGCTCTAAAACAAGTACTAGATTTATTTTAGATCTTTATTCTCCTCTCACACATTACATCCTGACCACAGCTCCCCCACCCTCCATTCCTCCCAGTCCTTTCCTCTACCTCTTGACATCAGATCAACTCCTCTTCTGTTTGCCTTAAAAAAAAAAAAAAAAAAAGAGGCCTCCCAGGGATATCCACCAAACATGGCCTAATGAGCCTGGGAACACACCCTCATATCAATGACTGTACACGGCAACCCAGTAGGAGAAAAAGGGTCCTGAGTGCAGGCAAAACAAGAATAGATTTTATTTCATTGTGGTTTTTTGCTTATCTTCACCACGTAGGAGTAAGACTTGGCACAATGTTTGTGATGCATTGTTTATCTATCCTATTTCAATATCCTGCAGACTTAAAACTTTCTGTCATCCAAGTGTGTCTGCACTCACTTGAGCCCACAGCCCCTGTTATTTTTTGTAGTGTACACAGAAGATACCCACTCAGTTAAAGCAAGGCAGTGCTAAGTGTCATGTCCCATCCTCCCCCGCCTCCCCCCACCCAGGAAAATTCCACTGAATATTCCGCACAGAGCTTGCCTTATCTGATGGGCTGCTTTTCAAGCCCCCAGTACTTACTTAGAACAGTTTGATTCTTAGTGCTTGTTGATGGGGAACACATCCTGTTGAGCGGCCCTCCGATCCCCACTCATCTCTATTATATACAGGAGTCAGATGATGAATGTGCTTGCCAGAGAGTCATGATAGAAGCATTGGATTCTTAAAGCTGTAAATAAAATGTTTACCCCATTTCTCCAAAAGACACGTTTTTCCTTTTTATTTTCTTTCTTTTCCAGGTACACCTGATGTTCCCTGACCACGTTCCCAAGCCTTGTTGTGCTCCAACCAAACTAAATGCCATCTCTGTTCTGTACTTTGATGATAGCTCCAATGTCATTTTGAAGAAATACAGGAACATGGTAGTACGTTCGTGTGGCTGCCACTAGAACTAATAGTGGTAATAACAAAACTGTATTGTTTTCATGACTGCAATTAAAAAAAAAGGAGATAAATGGGGACTTTGTTAAAATCTGCCCCGGTCATTTCATCTCTCTATGTATAATATTATGTATATACACTTTTTATTTATTTAAAAATATGTATTCTCTTTTGGATGCCTTACCAGTAAAATCTATTTTAAAGGTTCCTATATTATAGAACAGATTCCTACTCTAACTTTTGATGGAGTGTGCTGAGTCCAGCTTAATTCTATGTCAACATTTTCCCCAATACTATTATAAATAATTTTCTGATATTAAGTAGAACTCCTTTGACAGTTTAATGTTGTTGAAGGGAAATGAATACATTTGGTTATATTGCACCAATGAAAACTAAAAAAGAGTATTTAGAAATAAAGTTTTAAAAACTAGCAACCCAAACTAAAAAACCAAAACATTGCTTGGCTAAATGAATATTTTCTTTTAGCACTTACACTCCATTGGCTAAAGAAAAATGTTGAACTGGATTTGAATAAATAGACGGTAGGCAGGACACAGGAGCTGCAGGACTGCATAATTGTTCGAACTGTTCTCGTTAATGCAATTGGTGCAACTCTAGGAGCATGCTGCTTGTTGCTTCTGGGTTGTAGGTTTTTTGTTTTCTTTGCAAGAAGGTCAAAGCTTCAGAAATTCTCTTGGCACAGGCTTGAGTCTATGTCCACAAGTTTCCAAACCAACACTAAAAAGCACAGTACAACCTTACCTCAGATGAATCGTACCTGACCATTGTCTAGAACACTGCTGCTACAGTGTTGTTTTTTCCTTGTTTAAAACTTAGTCCAAAGTAAAGAAATATTTGCATGTACTCCATTTCCCTCCCCACAGACAGGAGTCACTTCATGCATAAAATGTGTTGGAATGGATGATGCCAACAGAGACATTCCCGTTCACTCACCTTTATAATAGACTTTGCTGGTTGATGTGATGCAAATGATTTTATTTAGGGTGAAACCATTGAAATTAAGCTGAAGGAAAAAATAAATCACTGAATGGCTTTGACAGAATTGCCGTTTTAAAGCAGCTAAAAGCCATTTTTCATATTTTTGAGAATAAGTTCAGTTGCAAACTTGATTTTACAAAGGAATTTTGAAAGCCTTCCTCCAAGCTATGAATAAGGACAATAGGAAAGGTTCTGGAGTGGTGTGAAAGTGTGTGTGTATGTGTGTGCGCATGCTCTTCTCTCTGGTGTTAATTTATTTTATCTGTGTTGAAACAGTTACTGGTAACTAAGGTCTTCAGCACACACTGACTTGTTGAGGAGCGGGTTTTCAGGTTGATCACTTTCTGCTGCTGTTAAGCTGCATGATAAGGCTTGTATCAGTTGACTGAAAATATTCGTAAAGCACCGTTTCTTAACCATCATCCACAGCCTTCGAACAGAAGTCTATCATTAGGAATTTCCAAAAATTGTGGCTTGTTTATAATTCAGATATTTTACAATGTTTTTAAACACAGTTTACAGTATAGAAAATATGGTATTGACTATATTGGGGGATACATTAAGTAATATATTTTTAGTTAATAAGTTAATAGTATACCATTGAGGCTAAGACTAGAGGTTAAGAAATAGAAATCTATTATATTATTCTTTAAATGTGCTACTTGAATGTATGTTTACATTTAAAATATATTAAACTTGTGATACCAACCTCTGTTGTTTTTGTTTGTGTGTGTGTATGGCATAGTTCTTTATTTAAAAAAATATAAAATGTAAGTGTATCCTATACTAAAATATTTACCAGATGTAAAACATTTTAATTACGTGGGTCATCACTTCCTTTCAACTGATAAGGCCCTTTTATACTTTTCATGGCTAACTGACTATTGAGTGGACAAAACACCAGCCTATGAATTACAGTAAAAAAACAAAAACCTGTCCAAACAAAGAAATATTTAAAATAGCAAAAATAATCAGAGTGGAAAATATCTTAGCTTGTTCTTGCTCATCTAGAACAAGAAATAAGAAGGACTATAAATGGGGCTGTGAAGGTGGCTTAGTGAAGGGTTACCATGGAAGCCGGAGGACCTGAATCCAGTCCCAGTACCAACAGATGTGATGTGACTTGTAGACTTAGTGCTGGGAAATAGAGCCAGCCAGCCATCCCAGTTCATAAGGCTCAGGTCCCAGTGAAAGATCCTGTCTCAACAAACAGTGTGGGTGTCTCAACAAACAGTGTGAGTATCTCCTCAGGAAGGACACCCGAGGTTAACCTGTAGCCTTCACTTGTGTGTGCACACATATACACATGAAAACACATGAGCACATACATGCATGTATACATAGAAACACTCTAATTGACATTGATTTTGTATCTTCCAAAAATTATATGTATGTGTACTCATGGTGTCAAATAATTGTCATAAATTCTTAGTGTTAATGTAGTATTATTCTAGCTATTACCAGAAAGAAATAATTAGTTTTAATAGATTTAAGTCGTTATAAGTAGTTAGCATGATGACATTTTTGTTTGTGCACTTCAGTAATTTTTCTGCTTTACATATGTTCTGCTTTGTGCAAGCGCTTTATCCAGTTTGGAAGTAAGAGGACATAAATCATCAATACACAAGTTTTAAAAAAACTAAGGCTAAAGATTTTTACATAGAACTAAAGAAAACAGACTGAAAAACCAAAATTATTTTTCAGCTGAAGAACCATCACTCCATATTCCCTATATCATCATCATCATCGAACCTGAGCCAGAGCCTCCTGGCAACTCTACAGTCTGGCAACTGTGATCTCTCAAGACATTTCCAATGAATAATTAGCTTACACTGCAGTTCTGCTCAGGGCAGAAGAAATCCTCACTCCCAAACACAGGCAAGCACCTCATAACCGTCGAGTCTAGTGCTCAGTCTATCATTCAATGTCCGTCTTGAGTTATGTGTTTTCTTATGCTTTCTTGTTCACCCTGTTTGAGGGGAGGAAAGCTGGGAAATTTAAAAGTTAGGAGGGAAGATGCCTCTGCTGATAAAGTATACACATTGCTAAGTATACATCTGTGTTTTATCAAGTTGAAGAAGATGAAAACTGAGGAGAAAATATGAAAAATTACAAGCAATGCCAGTGTTTTCTCTTATTTAGGTAGAAAACAAGGCCACACTAAGGTGGCTGTTACAGAAGGGGCAAAGGAGCCCAGAAGATCAAGCCACTACAATATTCATGAACAGCATCTGAAAGACAATGATCTCAGAGAGGAAAACCAAGAGAGCCTGCAGCCTTTATAAATCACAAAAGTTCAGAAAACTAAAACCCCATATCAAATTTTTCTCCTTAGTTTCCATTTTACTGTAGAGGCAATGTTTGTACACAATGGGGATGGAGATGCACTATACATTCAGTTCTGGAAATTATATAATCATTTGTAGAGGAGAGAGAGAGAGAGAGAGAGAGAGAGAGAGAGAGAGAGAGAGAGAGAGAGAGAGAGAGAGAGAAACAGAGAGACAGAGAGAGAGACAGAGAGAGACAGAGAGAGAGACAGAGAGAGACAGAGAGAGAGAGAGCACACTATGTTAAGTGCCTCAAGACTTTAAGTACTGAAACAGAAGCTAACCTGATGTTTTAGCAGATTGTAAGACTTTGTCATTTAAGCACACTGGGGCTACTAATGAATAGTAAAATTCAGGAGCAGAGAATTTAAATACTAGGTTGCATTCATTTTTGTGCAAAAAAAAAAAAATCCCAGAGTAAAAGAGCAATTTTAAAAACTTGAGCCAAAAGATCAATAAGGTGCCTTAAATTACACGGTAATTGTTATCCTTTCCTAAACAAACAAACAAAAAAACCAAACCACACACTCAGTTTCATACATGTGTATAAATTTATACTAAAACATGCTCTTTTTCACATGTATTTTTTATTGAAAACAATTTTTAAATTTGAATGTATTTTGGTTATATTCTAAGTCCTAGATCTTCTCCCTGCCCCCACCAACCCAACTGTAAATTCCTTCTCACAAATGAACAAACCTCCCCCCCCAAACCAATAAGATAAAATAAAACAACAGCCCCAAACCAAGTCAAACCCCACCAGACTGTAATAAAAGCGCGCGCGCACACACACACACACACACACACACACACACACACACACACACACCTGTGGAATCCAGTTGTATGTTGGTCGGCTACTAACATGAGGCTTGCCCTGGAGTGCTGATATACTTAGTGTCACGGTATTGGAGAAAACTGATTTTCTTCTCTCAGCAGGTACAAATGACAGTTCAGTTGTTTAGCTTTACCCTAGTGGCTAGGCATTCACTAATTAATTACTTCATTCATTCTAAAATATAACAAAATATAAAACAAAGACTGTCACATCAAAGTTGGACAGGACAAACCAACAGAAGGAAAAGAATCCAAGAGAAGGCACAAGAATCAGAGACCCACTCATTCGCTCACTCAGGAATCCCATCAAGACACTAAACTGGGGGCCATAAAAGATATGCAGAGGGCCTGATGCAGACCTGTGCAGGCCCTGGGCATGCTGCTTCAGTCTCTGGAGTTTACATGAGCATTGCTCATGCAGATTTAGAAGGCCTTGTTTTCTTTGGTGTCCTTCATCCCCTCTGGCTCTTATACTTTTTCTACACTCTCTTCCTTGGACTTTCCTGAGGCCCGAGGGGAGGGATTTGATGGAGACATCCTATTTAGGTCTGAATGTTCCAAAGTCTGTCATTCTCTGAACAATGTCTGGTTGTGGGTCTCTGTATTTGTTCCCATCTGCTGCAGGAGGAAGAGTCTCTGATGATGACTGAGCAAGACACAGATCTATAAAACATCTCTTAAATGCACTGTAAGGCTGTAAACAAATGGAAGGAACTGTTAAAAGCAAGGAATTAATCCAGGGAAGCCAGAGTAAAGTTCAGGGGAGTGAGTGGAGTGTTCAGTGTTGTCTAGAACTTTGGTTTCAGCCACCAAGCTTAGAAGCAGGAACAAATCCTATGCAGTGAGAGGAACCAGATCAGAGACATAAATCAGGAAGTCAAGCAGAACCAGATAGCAAGGAAATTTGTCTTGGCT